TGCTTAGTGTGAGGGTTTGCCTTCAACTCAATGAGTCCATGTAGTCAACCTTGAATAAATTTGACTGGATGATCTGGTTGAACTGTAAAGTGCCTTGAGACAACGTGTGTTGTGTACTGTTGCTATAGAAATAAACTGAATTTAATTTAATTAAAAAAGAACAGAAAAGCTAACAAAAAGAAGACATGAACATTTTTGATTGCCATGTTTCTCTGGTTTGTCAATGGGTTAACAGTTCAGTTCAATTGAACTGTTAACACACCTGCTCCCAATCAGTCTCTCTTTATTCTGTCTCCCATATATACTCTCCCTGTGCAGTTCCTCAGTGCTGGTTCCTCATCTTTTCCTGGCTTCCCATGTATGTTTTCCCTGATGTCTCCAAGGTTCTGGTTTTTCTGTATTTGTTATGTTGGATTTTTGGATTCCTGCCTCAGTTGCCTGTGAGTACTTCATTAAATCTACAAAACTCACCTCTGCTTCCTAACATCAACCCAACCTTGACAAAGAGAGGAAGGGAAATATATTATATGGAGCAAATTACAGCCAAACTGCAGATGAAAAGGGACATATTTAAGAAGAAAATGGTCCTTAATTTAATTTAATTTACAGCTTCATTGGGTCTGTTTAAATTGTGACTCCTATGGGAATGTTTGTCTGTATAATACACTCCTTTGAATCAAGGAAAAACTGCATTGTATAGGATTTATTGTACAAGTGTCTCCATATATAAACTGTCTTACTGTGATAAAACACTTAAAACAGATGAGTTCTGATTCAGTTTTCATGTCAGAGGATGAAAGAGAGCACATCCAATTAGCCACAGTAAAAGCTGAGCCCATAGCTATGTCTAGGAGAGAAACAGGACTAAACGCTGGAAAACAGACCCATGTCCAACATCTATTAACAAAAGTGTTGATGGCAGCAGCACAGCTGATATTTTTCTCCAGAATGGAGTCACAGCCAAACAGGAACAGACCAGATGAAGCTAGTATGAGAAAATGATAATGGCTCTCTACAACTAAAGTCAACAACAACAATAACCCACTACCTTATGAAAACAAACAAAAAAAAAAAAAAAAAAAAAAGAATCTAAGGAAATCAGGGAAAACATACTTATTCCTTTTTTTCTTTCTCTTCATCTGTACTCCCAAAACGTTTAAAAAATGTTTTCTTTTTTTTTTCTCCCCATCTTCTCTATTTCCTTGATACAAACAAGTAAATGCTTGTAATTTTGATTAAAAATGGAAAAGGGATAGAAAAGGAAACCCTATCCTCTACCTAAACCCTTTGGTCAGTGTCTATAACAAAAAATGGCATGCAATGTAATATATTGAGGCATTTTTTATTTGTTCTGATCACCAGAGTACAACTGAAATTGCAGAGAGAGCATAAAGTTGGGTGTTGAACTAACAAATACTGCGGAATGAGAGGGGACAAATAAAATGATCCAGAATAAGAAGGCGTCCCTATGTCCTCCGGCAGTCTAAGCCTATAGCAGCACAGCTATAGAGATAGCTCTGGATAACCTGAGCCACTCTAACTATAAGCTTTATCAAAGAGGACATTTTTAAGCCTCACCTTAAAAGTAGGCAGGCTTGGACAAGCTGTTTATTGCTTTTTATTTGAGATCTTAGTTGATTAGGCACATTCTTAACTCCCTGTGTTATACATGTATAAAATGAAATAGAAATATTGAACTCTTTCACATGGTTTTGAGCTGTTCTTGTATTTCTTTTTATAGTCTGTGTTTTATCTTATTATGGTTGTCTGGGTGATTGTTTTATTGCTCTCTTGTTATTTCTAGCTGTGCGACAGATTGAGCTACGGGGACAATAAAGACTCCTTGAACCATAAACCTTGTTTCTGGATTGTTGGAAGAAATGATTTGCTCTTCGATGAAGGCTGTTCTTGGGCAGAGTTACAGTAGGAAGACCAGATCACTGAGATGAAACAAGCCCCACTTTCTTATGTTCTTCAGGTTCCACTTGAAAATGGTTATTTAATTTTAAGCAAATTTGCAAAATATAAAGGAACCTTACAAAGCAAGGGGAAAAAAGAAAAAGAAAAGTATTTTTATAGAAATCTCTCCAACAATGTTTTTTTAGTTTGAGGATGATGCCTCATATGTGTCCTGGGGGGAGAAATTAAGTCTGGAGCTGAGAGAAAAGACATGAAGGCCCTTAGTGTTCTCAGCAAAGCTTCTGTGACCATATAAGGCAGCAAAGAAAGACTAGCAGATTGAAGCCTGAATAAGGGGAGGTATGTTTAAAGAAGAGCTTCTCAGGAGGGCTTTACCGTACAACCCAACACTGCCATCTACTGTTTATTCATCTGTATTGAGCATAAGATGAAAACTGCTGACCTGAAAGAGGCAATTCCTTCAGGTATTGCACCTTAACTTTAACTGCAGCTAAGTGGTGCAGAAGTGTGACTGAACTTATTTCTTGATATTATTTCTGTGGTGGAATCTGCTTAAATTTAATGTCTAACATAGTTAGTTTGTAGTTAAGTCTAAACGGAAACAGCTTAAACTAAATTTATTTTATTAGTTTTATTTATAACACCTTTCCTCTGTTGGTAAAAGCTTGTAGGTTTGGAATAAACGGAATGTAAACCACATTTAAAATAAACTTAATGTCAAAAACATCCTTGGTTCCAATCTAAAACTTTGATCAAAGAAAGTCAAGATGCCAGAAAAGAGAACAGATGATCATTTAATTATTTTTTTTTTATGTGTGGATTCTTTCTCTCAGTAACTCTAAAACTGTGTGCCTTGCATCAAGAAGGTTCTGGGTTTGATTCCCCGGCCCAGGGTCTTTCAGCATGGAGTTTGCATGTTCTCCCTGAGCATGCGTGGGTTCTCTCTGGGTACTCCAGCTTCCTCCCACAGTCCAAAAACATGACTGTTAGGCTAATTGGCTTCTCTAATTCTCCTTAGGTGTGAGTGTGTGCATGAATGGTTGTCTGTCCTGTTTGTCTCTGTGTTTCCCTGCAATGGACTGCCGACCTGGAGATAGACACCAGCATCTCTCAGGACCCCGCTTGGGATAAGCGTAATAGAAAAATGATGGATGGATGGATGGATGGATGGATATTAAAATTAAAGTGATTTTTTTCCTTCTATATATAGATATAGATATAGATATATCTATATATATATATGAGAGAGAGAGAGGCTGTAGTTTTTTTTACCCGTTTTACTGCCCCTGGGAGTCTGTTTCTACCACAAGCAGATAAGGCTCAGTCTGAATAGCTGAAATTGGTAAGGACAAAGGTAAGCATTGGCGGACGTGCATCCATGGTCACCAGAACAAGGTCTAAATAGTTCTTAAATAGAATATATAAATAGTTCTTGCAGTAAGAGAGGAGATACAAACAGGAAGCATAATGGTTCCTAGCAGCCATTA